TGCGACTGGCCTGAAACAACTGTTCACCGGGCAAGGAGAGGGCTTTGCATGGACCTTCCAGGTGTGGTAGAACTGACAGACACCCTTGCTCGAAAGTGGCACGTGCCCAGCGGGTGAGCCACGGCGTGCGCTCCGGGCCTGTCTCGGACAAGGCCCCGGGGTGTGCCTTCTTGGGCCACTTGATCGAGTGTGGCTCTGAGGTTGTGGTGTTTGGGTGATGAGGTGTCGATGGCATTGGCCAGAATGTCTTGCACATGTAGGTGCCATACATGGCCCACACAATGACAAGGTCGAGGGAGTTTTCCATGGGCACTCCTACTAATGGGGCAAACATGGTTCCCTGCTGGGAGGACCTGTGGGGTTTTCAGGGGGCCGTGCCATAGCCAGCAGTTGGGAGCGATAGTCGGCAAGCTCGTCAGCGAGCATCTCCGCCGTGGAGTGTTGGGTGATTGGGCTCGGTCGACACTGGCTTCCGAACGAAACGACGAGACCTGCATTGTATTCCAGGTGCGCTTCTGTGACTATAGTAGGAGGCCTCGTGTGCTTTGGGTCATCAGAAGCGATCCCCACTAAATCAGTCCACTGCATTTGGTTGGTGGCTAGAGCGATCAGGTCAGGCATTTCAAACAGAGTGACCGGAACACAGTCATTGTCTACCAATCCAAAGTGTTGTCGGGGGTAAAAAAAACCTGGCAACTTCGAGAACAAACACTCCAGCCCAATAGTATGGGACGTCACGGAGCCCGGTTCGTTGACTGGCAGTGATCCAGAGGAGGTCAGTTTGTTCTTGATGTGGTCCAACCAACTGACGACGTGAAAGCCACCATTTCTCAAACGCAGGCCAATGCGGAACGTCCCCTGGGGCACGGTTATCTACGATGAGGTAGACCATAATCAGCTTGACTAATGCGGTCTCGAAATTGCAGGAGACACTGGATGACCTCAAGGTAGTTGGGGCCCCGTCCCGACTGCTCGACAGACTCATATCCTTCGTCCCTGTCTGTCGGCTGTGAACGGACGTCGTCAATTCGACATTGTCCCAAGGATCGGTCCATGCCCAAGTGTGGCTCCACTACATTTGGTGCTCTTAGTGCCCTATATGCCTGTGCGTACACCTCGTTTGTGGGCCTATTGCACCCATGAATAAACATGCGTGCCTTGGCTTGTGTGATCCAGCCAGGATGTAGGGCGTAGCTGGCACACTTTCATCTGCAAAACAGTCTGTGAGGTCTAGTTCGTTATCCTGCACATCGGCTGCTCCGTCTTCACTGCTGACCGCCCAGGGATCATAGTCCATGGTGTCCTGTGGAGGCCTGCTACGTACTCTCTGCAAAGACCGACTCGCCCAGACGGACTATGTTCGAAGGCAAGCCCCCAACTTGGGATGGGTGCAAGCCGCGGCTCGTGCCGGACAATAATGGAAGGCAGGAGCAGTCAAAGCGTATCACGTCTCTAGGTGCCCTCCACTTGGGTGGACTGCACGTTTACTGCAACAACATGCACAAACATGCAACGGCTCCGAGAGAGGCGGTGTTGGCTGTGAGCCAAAGGAGCTGCAGTCAATTTGCACCTAGGCATCTATGACCCCACTTGCCCCATATCAAAAAAGAGTGTGTTACACACTAGCCCAACTAGCCAAGCCTTGAAGCCTAGAGAACAGCTTCTGGTGTGCCTTGCGAAGTATACGGCAGTGTGGGCAGTCTAATTGAATACCCTTGCCAATGCGTTGAGATTCTTCATGCATTCCACTGCCCCAAGCCTTGAAGCTCCCCTTATCCCGCGCTCAATCCCCCCTAAAACCTATCCCTTTCCCTTCCTTGAACCATCCCTTAAGCGCCATCTCAACCCCCTTTTGTGCACAAAAAGGAAAATGAAGCAAGTAGCAGTAGCCACACATTCAACATCCTTGCAAGAATCATCCAAAAGAGTTCGATCGCATCATACCAATTATTCCCTGCCACGGCGGGGGCCTCTAAAATGAAATGTCGGAGGGCAATTCTCAATGAGATAGGCCTCCACTCTGGCTATAGTTCATTTTTGCTAAAGCAAAATGGGAAACTCACTTCGAAACTCATACCAGAATTCGTTGCCCAACTACATAGCAGTCAATGTGTTTCACCGTCGTTTCACCTTGCATGTACAGAGCGAATCTCCCTTTCTTTCGTGTTTTTGGGGTCCGGTTTTTGTTTTGGTTGGGTTTTGTTGGTGTGTGTTTGTGTTTGTTTCTCTGTTCTTTCACCAGGAGATTCACTCAAACGTAGTTAAAGATGACCTGTGCACCATGCAGACCTAGGTGTTTGTAGAGAAGCGAGTGGGGCAGCGTTTTTTGTGTTTTTGAGCAGTCAGGAGATGCTTTTGAGTGCTCACAGAACAGTTGAGGACTATGGGAATATATTCCATAGGTTTTGTGCATGTGTTACGACGGAACATATTTGGCTCTAGTGTGCGGCAGAAAAGGCGCGTTGCGAGTGTGTTTTCTCTTGTTTCTTTTTTTTCGGCTCGGTCGTCGTGCGTACACTTGACTTACAAGACAGTTTTTCACGCTGAGAGCTTGCGAGGAAGGTTTCTTTTTCGTTAGTTTGTGTGTCAAATTTTCACGGAAAATTCCTTCGTTCCCACTGACAATAGTCTGCGATTCAAACGACAAGCGAAAGAAACAAGCGAGATTCAACCGCTTTGAAAGGCGGGATCCGTCGCTTGTTCCACCCGTACGCCACGCATCCAACAACACCATAAAGAAGGGCGACAACATAAATGTTTGTTCATCTGTTCTTCCTAGCAGGTGTTCAACATCAACATTTCACTTGGTGAACCTCGATGTGCAGGTTTCGTGGCAGGCGCAGTTTTTTCTTCGCAGGACGCTTGCGCTCACTCTCACTCACATTCACAATCAATCCACGCTCACACTCACTCTCCCTCTCACTCTCACTCTCACTCTCACCCGTCTCACCCACTCTCCCACTCACTCACTCTCCACTCTCACACTCACTCTCACTCTCACCCACACTCACTCACACCCACCTCAACTCTCACTCACACTCACTCTCACTGTCCACACTCACTCTCACTCTCACTCTCATTCTCACTCAAATTCACACTCACCGTCACACTCACTCACTCACCACCACCGCCACCGTCAACACGATCCCCACTTTCATCACCATCATCACTTTCTGGACCCCAATCGTCTAGATCCCTAGACTTTCTGCTTATGGACCTCACACCGACTGAAAACCACCCCACTCAACCCCAAATTGTTGTGTCTGATCCAGCTTTCTGAATTGTGCAACATCATTGTGTCCTTTCGTTTGTCCTTTGAACACATTGCACACTTTTTAGTGGGGACGAACGAGCTGAACGGCTTGAGGAGGTGACACACATGTTGCGAACGAACGGGCATGGCAACATGCCAGCAGCTTTTGTTGGGCCGGGACCTTCTGAAGCAGCTCTTGCTGCGCCAACCGGTCTGTGACCCAAACATGTGATGTGCTTCATCCATGACCATGAACAAGAACTCTTCACCCAAGCCTCCGCAGGGCTCAACTGGGTGCCGCTGCAAGTTTTGGCTTCATGTCTGGAATGGATGGGTTCCGGAAATCGACTTCCATCTCAAATGTCCGAATACGTTACGAGATGAACTGCATTGCATTTGATTCAAAAACCGCATGGATCTTGAAGGGCAAACCAAGACCAAACAACGGATGGGTTTCCCGATCATACTTTTGTTTGACATTTTATAGTAACGGACACCCACTTACAACAGATATATAGTCACGGACAGCCAGTAGGCAGAAAAAATCCTGCTCACCACAGCTGCTCGGGGTTGTTTTTTTGGGGTTTTTGAGCGGACCTATGTGTAAGCCTAGATTTGGTCAGCCAGGCTCAAGGGGTATATAGTAAGCAGAAAATTGTGCCTATCAAACATGTTGGGTGCTATCTTGTGAAAGCCTTTATCGAGATATGTATATATATATATACATACATACACATTCAAAGAAATGGGACAAGACTATGACGTCGGGATAAAATGATTTGAGGACACATTTTTTTTGTCTTTGATTCTAGCACCCGCCATGTGTGATCCCTCGGATCCTATACTACAAGCCCACCAGTGGGCACACTGCGCAGTTGCTCATGTAATTGGGACACATGAGCATCCAGCGATATATGGGGACCGGGATTGAATGAAAACAGCCGTTGGACTCACGTCTGATACTTTGCAGGGTAGTAGGCATGAATGCTTGCTGCTTACTACTGCAGCACGTGCTGGACGAGACGACAAATGCATTGATAAATAACAATTCCTTCTCCTTTTCCTTTCTTCTCCTTTTATTTGCCAGTAGTAGGACAGGTAGTAGGACAGGACCCAAAGGACCTAGGAAACTTAGTAAGGAACAAGGATTAAGGAACATTAGTCAAAGCAAAGCAATAGCAACTATGAAGCAAACAAATATGTACATCTTGAGTGAGGAGCTCTAGTAACCAGAAGCAAACAAATATATACATCTTGAGTGAGGAGCTCTAGTAAGCAGAGGATTTGAGTGAGGGGGTTTTAAAATTTACCGCCCGGTGAAATTATCTGCTTAATTTTTGGCTAGGTTCCGCTCCTGCCTACTACTTGTCCTTGACTATAATGAGAAAAAACATGGCAAACATTTTACAGGTGTCATAGTGTCATAGGTTCTATAATTACTATTGGCTATACGCTCAAGGAGCGGTTTGCCAAAAGCCTATGAACCACAACACTTGGCTTTGAGTTGCAGGGGATGGCAGTCACTTTTGAACATTGAAATTGTTCTAAACGTTGGGTTTTCGGAGTTAGGTGTGTACATTTAGAACACACCGGTAATCTTCTAAGTGCAGGGGTTTTGGTATGTTCTAAGTGATGGTTTTCAAAGTTAGAAAAATGTAGCACTGACTGGAGGAAGTTTCAAGCAAACCGTACCTTCTTTGTTTCTAGAACCTTTAGCAACTTCGTGACTGCGGCGTGTTTGGGCTTTAGCGGCAACCTTGCAGATCCGCCAATGGTGGTCGCAGGACTGCGCTAGCTGTTTGTTTTGTGTTCAATTATCCATGTTTCCTTGATGATTTTTGAAATTGTTCTGCTGAAGGAGTTTGCCTGTCGCCGTCATGTTCAGAAAACTTTGGTCCAAAGATGGTGAAGCTTTTACTTCACACGAAGAGGACCCTTTGTCGAACTGTCGCTGTGTGGGTTTTGGCAAGCAGAATCGCGCAAGATGCCCAGGCTGCAGTGATCAGGTTGGCTTCGGCTCACAGTCGCCTGGTTGTGGAGGGTGGCCGTGTCAACACAAAGAGTGAGGTCAGCAACAATCAATAGAGAACCTTTTCAACGTTTCAATTGCAATGTTGACAGGCTGGGTTCAATTCATGCGCTTTATTTTTGGAATGCCTTGACGCAACCGAGAGAGCTTGGATCTTGGAAAGCAGGGAAATAGCATCCCTCTCCAGTATTGCGGTCACCCAACAAGTTTGCAAAAAAACCTGAGGCGATGCACCTTGATGCGGCGCCAAGAAAGTGCTCTGAACCCGATTGGATATCTGATCATTTCCTGAGTTGTTCAACTTAATTTTAGACCTGTGGGTACTTTCTTGCTGATGTTGGTAGGCATTTTTTTGCTTTTGTGGCACTGAAACCTTAATACTACTATGAAATCAGTGTTTCAATTCTCCCGGAAGGTACCGGGCTTCTTTCACCATCAACTATCGAGCTCTTTTTCCAGACGAAGTTTCTCGCACTGAGCCATCAATTGTGTAGACTCGTTGGACCTGTTTGCTCTGGGCAATTGGTTTTGGAGAGGAGATTGATAGATTTGCGCAATTTCTAGATGATGCTGTGAGAGCCATTTGACCTACCAAGTTCGGCAGCTACACCAGCACACTGGCAGTTGTATGGTGTTGTGAATTCTGTGCTTGATGAAAGGCTCGCAACTATCGAGTAGATGTTCTTGAAGTGCGTGCCCCAGTGTTCCAGATTTCGCAATCTGATGCTTAAAGCAGAGCCTCGAGGCAAGTGTTGAGCAGTATGCGGTTATTTGGGTCAACGGGGATAAGGCCTCTGGCAGTTGTACATGGCTTGATGTGTGGACAGACATTGCAGAGTCCGCTTTTGTATGACATGACAGTTCGAGTTCAGCGCAGAAGCAATGCGCCGTGCAGAGGCTACCTGCTCTTTCACATTAAGACTAGCTGCTAGCTGTATCTAGTGGAGACGGATTTGCCGATGTGCTTATTTGAAGGAAGCTGAGGCATTCTTCCCCAATGGTAACGATGTTTGAAGCTAGGATGAAACCATTGCAGACTAAGCCCTTGAATATTGAAAAGGTTCTGTTTTCTCCTGTTAAAGTGCTCAAAGGAACAGATTTGAGGCACTGCAGAGATGCTGGGCTGACTTGGCTGTGCTACTTGAACGCTGGAACTCAGAGGCGGTATTTCATGTCTTTTTGGGTCCGCAGAATACGGTATAGTTGATGTACAGTAGTTCACTGTGTAGACTCAATAATCACCAGCAGCAAACAGGCAAGAGCACACCGACCAGCAAGATCAGAACTGCGCTCTGCACTTGCTGGGGGCCAATACACTCATGCTTGGATAAACAACATTTTAGGACCATTGTTTTGATCGTTTTTGGTGTTTTCAAGTGATATGTATTCTGTGAGTCCGCCAGAATGCAAGGTTGCATTAGATTCTGCATGGGCCAGCTTTGAGCACAAGTGCCCCTAGAGTTGCGGGGAAAACGGCAGGTTCTTGCTTCTGACACAATTCATGGCCTCGGCTCAAGCTAGAGATGAAATCACATCTATATTTCAATCAACCCTTTCCACGGCAAGGTCATGCATTTGCAGCCCAATCGCACTGGAATGCGCCATCAACCTCACAACCGCTAGACATGAGCAGCAAACATCCAGTTCAACAAACTTTCGAAGCGAACCCTAGCAAAGCTTAGCGAACGAAGCGTTCAGGTTTGTTCTACCGAAACCAAAGCACCAGCGATGGCTGCGTGGCAGCCTTGTCAGGCAAGTTGTAAGTGAAAGTGTAGAATCCTGACTTGACATGGTTAGCATTTTGCTCTGGTACACAACGCAGAGCATATATTCAATCAATCTTATGACCTGCAGCCAGATTGCACATAACAGACGCACGTACTGCCCGTTGACAAAGAGTGATGTATACACACACACATATATATATATATATCATATATACACATACAGTAACATGAATCAAGACGAAACAGGGACAGAACCAAATAACAGGGATACACAATTGAATGGCATGCAACCAGCCCAGCCAAATCATAATGGGCCACAATTTGGTATCCGAGCTGCTCTTGCAATGACAAAAATTTCTTGCCAAATCAACGCCGAAATCACATGAGCAATTGCAACATCTATTAAATTTTGGATGTGCCCCGCCACAGATGTGATCGCACTCCAGGGTGCCACATCGTAGTTGTGGTGCTACAAAGTGCTGGAAGATCAAGAGACTTGCCTGTTTCAAGTTCGCCACTTCACAATAAATTTGAAAAAGGGGGGCCTTCGTGGGATCTTTGTTTAGCAGTTTTACCTGAGCCGATAGTTTGCAAATTTGTGAACTTTGGGATGCCTGGCGTTGGGTCTTTAATCTCGCCAGTGGACTTATATGGAGAAAAGGAGCAAGCATGCAAAAAGGGTAAAAGTACAAAGACTTTGGTCATTTGCATTCTTGATGGCATTGAACGTGTGGGCTCATTTGGAGTGAACATTTGGCTCACATATGACCTATGCCAGTGCCCATTCTTTCAGACTGCTTCAACGGTTGTATGCTACATGTATTTCAGGGTTTGGGAGCAATCAACACAGTGGACAACCTTAGCAAAGGGTGTTTGTGTCTTGTTAGTTGGTTTTCTTTTATTCGAAAACTAACTGGAGCAAAGAACTATGCACCAGGTCTGATGTGTCCCGTTTGAACTTTACATCAGGGAGCTAGCATGCTTTATTGCGCAATTTGAGCATTCTCATACACGTACAGCATGCACACTTACCCACAGGCCCTTAGGTGCAAAAGACCGCACTATCCGCATGGTAGCGGAGCCGAGAAGGTGATCCCAAGTGGTCTCACTGGAGCTCCAGGGCGGATCCCTAGCTTCGTTTTCACTTGCGCCCTTGCCGAGCGACCATAGAACTAGTGTTGCATCGATCTCGCAATCCCTGCCTGAGCTTACTTGACCACCCAGATCGAGCTTCACCATCCTGACTTGCCTGGATTGGTTGAGGACTTGGAGGTGGAACAACATCCTAAAGCCTGAGGCAGTCCTTGACGTGGAGAGAGGCACGAAGGTGAGGAGCTATGGATGGATCTGGGGGAGATCCAATGATGATGGCAGCGAATCCCAGCAATGACAGAGCTTACTCAAGCTTTGATCGGTGCTGCCCAAGCTGCTTCGCTGGTGGCAAATCAAGCTGCTCAGGTCTCAGCGATCCATACCACATCTTCGAGTGGAGCCGAGCCTGGAGTGCTGAAGAAGGACCTGGCAAAGCTCATTCCAAGGCCACCAGTCTTTAATCCAGCAGACCGTGAACAAGAAGTGCTGCAGTGGCGAGACTGGCTTTGGAGCCTCAAGCAGTATTTGGTGGTGGTAGATGAGGCCTATCAGGATGAGATAGAGAAGATGGAATCAAGCCCCCACACCGAGTTCGACTGGGACCTCCTTTCAGATGGAGAGCAGCAAAGGAGCCGGTTCCTCTACTCGCTCCTTGGAGGTTTGGCGCAGGGCCGGCTAGTGGGAGTCATCAAGAACATCGATAAGTTCAACGGCTATGAGGCCCTCAGACAACTCCTGGAGAACTGCCAGCCACAGGCACGCAACAGGACCATGAATCTGCTTTTCACGCAGTACGAGAGGCTTGGAGGAGGGAAGCTGGCCACTGACATGAAGTCAGCCATCCTCTTGAGGTCAGGTGAAAAAATGTAAAAGAGTTGATTGAGTTAAGTTTTCTAAACTAATATCATAGCAGTATAACAAATCAAAATTTATTCAAAACAACATAACAGCCCAAAAAGTCAGCTTAAATATTCTTGATTGCTTCATTTTTCTTGACAATATCAAAACATAATTACCTCATTCAATTTTTCACAATCATAGCAGTCAAAGCATGCTTACCTCATTCATTTTTCAATATCATAGCAGTCAAACACAAATAGCAGTCAAAGCATACTTACCTCATTCATTTTTCAAAATCATAGCAGTCAAAAGCATTGTTACCTTATTCATTTTACAAAATCCTGTCCATCAACCGTTGCTAAATTCCTTTTATGCTTCTCTGTTTTTAAATGTCTTGAATAACATTGTGCCTTCACTGATGAATTGCATACATTACAAAAGGCGACTTTATCACGATGGTATTGTATTTGTTCCTGTTTCTTTTTTATATATTTTCATGTTCTCTATATTTAGTTCTTCGTGTTTCACTCAATTTATCGTTATGTTTGTCATAGTTCTTTCTCTTGTATTCCAAGCATGTCTTACAAGTCTTCAATCCATCTTCAAAAATAACAATTGGTAAATCTTTAACACAGTATCTACAAAATTTGCCCAATACATAATATGATTCTGTTCTTATATGTCTTTTCCAAGAATTCCTATAACAACTAGACGACGAGTGGCCCGAAAGCATTTTTCATCACGTAGGATGTCAGAGTGTGAGTTATGTGTTAAGTGTGCAGTGTGAAGTGTTAAGTCGAGGGAGTTGAGGTAGTGTCGTGTGGGTTTCTGTGTGTGTGTCTATGTCCGTGTGTATGTGAGTCTGTGTATGTGTGTGTTCGTGTAAGTTGAGGCAGTGCGTGGGTGTCTGCGTGTGTGGGTGTCTGCATGTGTCTGCATGTGTGTACTGAGAGAGATACGACACGTGGAGGCGTGCTGCAATCGGACTGCCCAGCAGAGCTGCATTGTCGGCGATGGAAGCGTCATACAGGGTTGGCAGCAGAGAGGCAGCTGGAACGAACGCGAAACGAAACGAAACGAAACGCGAAACGAAACGAAACGAAACGCGAAACGAGTACTACAGTCGTACTGCCACGCTCCCCAGCTACTCCGCGTACTACAGTCGTACTACCACGTCGCCAGT